AGAAAAAGGATGAGTCACCCTGAAAAATGAAGATAAGTCTGACATGACCATGTTCAATAAACCATCAAGCTTAGAATGTACAAGCTTAGAATGTACAAATACGTACCTATATATATATACCTATATATATATATTTATTTATTTTTTTCACCAAAATTATTTAATGCAGTTCTGCCATTGGCACACTTTTGCTCCCAGCAATCAAAGCCAGCTGGTAGAAGCCTCACAGTGAAAAAGAATAAAATGAAATACTAAAATCAATGCCTGGTTTTGAAATAAAGAAATAAACCCAGCCAGCAGCAGAACCATGAGGCGTCTGATCTGCCTACGCAGTTCACCAGGCCACATCCTCTCTGCCTCCACTAAGAGAGAAAATAGCATCAGCAAGCAACCATTAAGGTAGCCTGTTATTTCCACATACAGTACATACACACCGGTACCACCAGCTTCAGCAGGATTCAGCCAAAGTAACCCTTAATCAAACCTATTGAAGATGTAGCTAAAAATCCTGATACACCTTAAAAGGAGTGAGATAGTAAGGTAATAAATTCTAAAAGAAAAACACATTTAATACGAAAGCCCATATTACATAGATGGAGAAGTACAACAAAAGCAGTTGCTTTTACACAGTTAGCACAGCAAAGAACAATTAGGGAGTTTGCTTCCGATAATATTTACAGGCTAAGCGGTGCTACACAATTCTGACACCAAGAGAGAAAATACTTTGCGCAGAGTTCAGTTTTGCCACAGTTGGCAGCAGTATAAGGCAATGAAATAAGCACATAAAAATGGAAATCATGATCAACAATGCATATTTTATGGCTGTAGTGCTTTTAAGTATTAAATCTGTCCTTTTAGGGGTTATCCCTTTCAGAAAGACACTGTCTAATCTGTAGAACAAAAATCAATTATTGTTATTTATAGTAAATGTCAAGGAGATTCTGAGAATAGGTAAAGAAAAAAATAAAAGACTGATGTACAGTTGCTGAAGTTTCATTTAAAGAGACATATGTTTACACCAATGTAACACTCATCATTTGCAAGAGTTCGATGCCCCTTAATGCACTTAAAAAAAAAAATGTAAACTCTAAATTGTGCAATTTCTCATACAATTCCAATGTCTGCCTCAAAATTTAATTTAATTGGGCTCCGACTAACTTCTCACATTAAGTGAGTTTAGAGCAACACAGGTATAAGCTAATCTGGCCCTGCCCAAGGCTTCACCAGTAAATAATACTGCAATACCCCATATAATCATGAAACCTTTCCTAAAAAATGTGTTCAAACCACAAACACTTTAACCAGCCATTGTAAAGGAAGAAGAGGAAGATAAATCTATTATTTATTTTAATTAAGATCCTGCACAAATTTCATCACCTGTTTGACAGAAATGTTTGACACCCATGGTTTCTGAGAATAAAGCTGTGGTATCTTGTCTGGCTTTTTTCTTTTTAGTGCCTCAGTCTCTTCTTAATAAACTTCCGCTGGTCTGGAGACGAATAAGAATGTAAGTTATGTTTTGGAAAGTTATGCTTTCTGTATTTGTTGAACTGCAGCACATTTAAACTGAAAAAAACTGGATATTTGTTCTCACTCAAATCCATGAGCAACAATAAATCTTCTCTACCTTACAAGAGTACAACATAGAACTTCCAATGAGTGAGTCTTGCATAAGGGTGCAATAAAGAGATTAAGAGTTAAACAAAGAAAGGTTAGAGACAAAGACAGCAATGTGGGTGACAAGAAAAAAGGATGGATGGAAACTGCTGAGTGTCCTACTGAATAAGTAATAAGGCTTGCCCTCCTCTTGTATTTTAGATGAGGAAGATCAAATTTTGTACATTTGGTATGCAAGTGTCTAAGAGACTGAAGTCACCACCGGAAGTCTCGGAGTCAAAAATATCACTTGGTGACGTCTGCAGACGGGGTACTGCTCCATATTTGTTACAGGGTCACAATAAAGTGTCCCAAGCTGAGGAAATAATACAAGGATGGGATAATTGGGAATGTGAAAAAGTAGTTTATTCATTTTTATTTATGCCTTCAGAACTGCCTTAATCCTTCATTGCATAGATTCCTATGCAAAATATACATATACACAAACACTACTACTGTTTACCAGAATAACTAATGACATTTAACTAATAACTAGTGCTCCATAAATAGAGGTCTGCTCTAAAAAAAAATAGGTAAAATAAGACTTTTGCCGATTAATTTTTCTTTCATATCAACTGATTTGTCATTTTTATAGGTTAGCTAAACCAGGCTATGGTAGGTAGGCATTATGCTAAATGGTTTACTGTGATGGAAACAACCAAAAAAGCCTGGGTTACAAACCAAGAATCTCAGATGGTTCCACAATGGTGTCATCTTGGAGAAACAAGTTTCGCTTTGGTGCAGTCTGCTGTAATGAATGTAATTTCACAGACCTTTTATACACACAGAAACGGTATTCAATATAGTTGTCTTTACAAGAGATAACCCCCAAAAGCCTACTATGTCCTCTTTAAGGATACAGAGGTCACTGATGACAGCAGAATTCCACTTACAGGAACATCCCAATCAAAGCATCCACATATCCATTTCCGGCAAACTGTAGTTCACACTCCCTTTCCTTGGCTCTCACAATTAGTCAGGCTTTTTTGTCACGTATTTAAATTTTTCCACCTGTGCATGAAAACATTAACGTGATGGAATGCTGACGCAAGACAGAAGGGAACGCCATCTGAACTCTGAGTGAATACCACAACAGTGGGAAGGGAGGGAAAAAACCCACAGGGAAAAGCTAGCAGAGAAAAAATAAGATGGTAGGAGAGGATTGGAAACAACGTTTCTCGGTGATGGATAAGAGCTGACATGGGGAGTAGCACTGGGGGTTCCCTGCTCCGAACCAATCTAAACACGAATGACCCTTGCGCATAGAGCTGTGGCTAAGAGCCATGTGCAATGAGTTAAACAGACAGGCAGCACTCCAGCTTGGCTATTATTAGAGCTGCGGCTGCTGCTTCCTTGTCAGGGTCCCTGGAGGCCTGGGAACTGGCACGTGGATTCCTGATCCCTTGCCATCTCACTGATCTTTGGCCCTACTCTTGTTCATGCCTCTCATGAACCGCTTCACTAGGCCCTCGCAAGTTGCAGGTTGATTCTTTCATGGGGTAGAAGTGAGCTTTTTCAACAACAGTCATTAAATCAAAAAAAGGAAGAGGGTGAGGGAAGCAAACAAGGGAGACAAAGCTAAATTTGAGATTCATTTAGCTGATTCACCACTTTACTGTGGTGTGAAGAGTAAACAAATTAACTTCCAAACAAGTGGTCAAATTGGACAGCAAACTTTAACCTGAAATTTGGCACACAAACTGTAACCTTTAAGTGAACACTAAAAGATTTTCTTCCTCAAAAGTTTCTAATTTAACTAATGAGATACCACTTAATATAAATGGTCGGCATTATGAAGTCAAGTAAGTGTCCATACACGTTTTAAGTAGGGTAGGTGACATGTAATCATCCTGTAGGAAGCTTTACCAGACATACATGTCCACTATTTAAACTGGAATATGTGTAATATGTTAATCTGATCCAAACTGTAGTAAAATATACACAGATTTACAGATTTAGTAAGCATTCAAAACGAATTGCTGCCAATGAGGGCATGACTGCTTCAAGTTTGAGCTTCAGTTCCCTGGTCCTTTAGCTGCCAGAACAGCGGAATGGAACTCTTGCACAGTTCATCCCACGATGTTAGCCACCATTACCTGGGGATACGGGCTAGGGTTTGCTACCAAACCACCGAGTTTCAAAAGAGTGGTGTGGTCTGTGGCTTCAGGGGCTGCTGTGGACACCGTGGAGAATGAAATTGCCTCTCTTTTAAGACGAGGGGTTATTCACATAGTAACAAGTAAGGGAATTAATCCTCAATTAAAATGAAGATAAAAAAGGAACATTGCTTCCCATCCTGGACATGCGTTTTCACAACCCCCCTCTGGGAATGTACAAATGCAGAATGCTCACACACAAACCAATTCTGAAGATCAACTGGGTGATGCCTATAGATTTGCCGGGTGCTCACTTTCATATAAGCGTATTGCCAGTTTACAGGAAATTCCCAAGATTTGCATATCGAGGCGTGGCATACCAATGTCAGACTTTCCCATTGAGAGTTTAACTCACCCTGATGGTACAGTAAATGTGTCCCCCCTTCTTGTTTGCGGGGTCTCAGAGTGCTGGCATATTTGAGGTTCCATAGGCTTGTCAACCAGTTCACAAGGTGGTTGGCCTTTTTTCTCACCAACGACTCTCACGTAGAGGTAATGCAGCCTTTTCAGCAATCATATGAATGCCTAGGCGTTCATGCATTCCACAAGTGGAACTGCAGCTTTGTGGGCCATATTTAAGTAAGTGTTCATGGGGGATATCAGCAAGGCAGCAAGCTTGGATTACCCACACTCCTTTGTCAGACTATTGCCTGAGTATGGCTGTACTGGTTTGGTGCTTTAATCATGCCACTTAGGGGTGTGCTCCTACATCTCCTACAGTGGAATAACCAGCGAAGTTTGAAAGAGAACGTTAACTTAGCAGTGTAACCCCAGTTCTATCAAAACTGAGAGAGGTATCCTCACACTGACCTCCTTGCATGGACACGTGGAAGAAATACACCAAAGATTCCCATTCCAACATAAACAATACAATTTCATCAATTATAATACTCCAGAGTGACTATCATTGTATATTTAGAGTAAATTAACCTGACTTTTTTTTTTTTTTTAAATGCAAAAAAAAAAACTACTTTCAGCTGAACTTGTGCAATGAAGGAAGTAGTGAATATAGGGTTGTTCATTGTTACCATGCTACAAAAACTAAATAGTAGTCTACACCGCCACCTGGTGATTAGAGGAACATAAAGCATTTGCTGTGAACATATGAATGAAAAAAGGATCTACAACTGTAAATGAATATATTTTTCATCACTTATACAGGGTTATTGTAGGCAGAGAAGTAATAAATTAGCTTACTTTATTGTTGTGAAGAGCACGATCCAACTCGATAACACGTGTGTCGGTGGACCTGGTATCTGCCACTGATGGACTGATCTATGAAAACAAGGCTCAGTCAACAAATAAGCTTGTTTAGTTTGTGTGACTGCTAAAATAAAGCTAAATTATCAGATATTTGTTGGATGTCCATAAGTACGTTTAGCTTGTTAAAATTAGAAATGAGAAGAAATTTATAGTGTCAGCCAGTAAGCGAAAAGGGAATTTACCTGAATAGCTGTGGACTGCTGCTGGTGAAGGTGTGGTGTCCTGGGATGGATATCAGACAAATGGGGTGGAGGATCTGGGGTGTATCTTAGGCTGTGTTGATGCAAGACATCCCGATAAGATTTTCTATCAAAGTTTGTCCTCCACAGCAGCACCTACAGGACAGCAGCCATTTTCTGTTACACTGTTTCACAACATTTTCCCTAAAAAAGTTGCTATCAGAAATTTTAAGTAACATGGTATTCTGGGATTTTTCTATTTGTAACACTGCTGATTCAAAATGGATAGCATGAAAGCTTTTGGTTGTAATAAAATTATTCAAACTGCAACTAAGGTCTTTCTGTATCATCTGATCCATAATTCCACATACCCTATAGAATATCAAAACCCTCTTTTTTCTGTTCAATAAATAACATAAAAAAATGTAATATATTACTCCAAGTCATAAAATCATGCTAACTTCTCCCAAATTTAAGTTAAAAAAAATACAACTCAGCAGTTTCAGTCTAAAATACAGTCTCAACTATTTGATGTGGTGGGGAGTGTCACACATCCTATATTATCATGTCTAATACATCATTAAGCACCAACCTGACAGTCAGCTCCTCCAGAGGCAAACAGATCTCCACTTCTAGAGAAGGCCACTGTGATCACAGCACCCTAAAAAAAATAAAAAAAATAAACAGGCACAAACAAAAAAAGATGTAACCTGAGAGACCACCCACAACTACTTCTGCAATGGTTTTCAGACAGTCCACAGTTTGGGAAAGGGTCTGACAGTGTGTGACGTCATCATCACCTTGTGTCCGTGTAGAGTGTAGATAAGACGTCCCTCTAGTATGTCCAGAATCTTAACAGTGCTATCACTAGAGCCACTGATCAGATAGTTGTTGGATGGGTGAAAGGAGAAACTATTAACCCCAGAACTGTGGACTAAAAGAAACACAAAGAAGGCAAATTCTAAAAAAAAAAAGAAGCAATAATTTGAGCAAAAAAAATAAGCTTCAGAGTATAACAGATACTATTCCAGTCATGAATTTGAGAAACTAGTAAGAATATACAGAATCATTACAGTTGCTAAGACTACATTTACAGAATCGTTTTAGCCTTTGCACAATGCACCTTGATAATGCTGAATCAGCTTATTGGTTCGTAGATCCCAGATCTTCAAAGAACCGTCAGCTCCAGAGGATGCAATGCAGGTGCCATTGGAGTTGAAATCAACATGTGTTGCAGAGCTTGAAAAATAAAACAGTGAAGTCAGTCATCTCAAGCAGTGTCACAGTTTAATGTTATACACAAAAATACCATATCAGGGAGAAAAAAAAATGTTATGTCACATGACATTCTGAGATGTTTTGGATTTGAATTAAAAACCAGGTTCGCTGACCAAACCCACAGTGTATTTTATTGACCGATAGGGTTTGCGTGATAGACAAGAGTCAGTCAGATTAGTCAGAAAAGAAAAGTGTGACACAAGTAGTGTCCATTCACCATTTACTGTTCAAATTTGAGTTAAGTTTTGGAATGATTTTTGATGGGGGGTTTTTTATTTAGAATTTTTACGTTACAATAAGGTATTTTTAATCTGGTTTTTGTTCTTATTTCACTGTAACTGCATCTCTGCGGTACACTTAAAGGTACACTGTCAAGGTTTTATACTTTCATGTCATTTATTTATTTATTTTTAGAGTGGGACTTACCCCCCATAGTCAGTGAAGCAGTTGATGCAGTGTTTTGTTGATGTGTCCCAAAGTCTGACCATCCTGTCGTCTCCACAGGAAGCTATGAGCCTTCCATCTGGAGAAAATCTGACACATGACATGAAATTCACATTGTGTGTATGTTCATTTCTACAAGATGTTTGACCGGGCTGCAGTATGTGGGAAAGCCTCTTTAGATAACCAATGTATCTCCACACTGCTGGAGAGTTATAAAAAATAATAATAATGTAGTACCGCGGAATACCTCGCACAGCGCACCCAATTAGTGTGCTGGTTCAGGGAGTAGACAAAGCTCTGCCGATGAACGCTCCAAACTTTGACAGACTTGTCATCAGACGCCGTCACCAGTTTGTGGCCGTCATGCGAGAATGCAACGCTCCGTACTGCAGCCGTATGTGCTTTAAACACTGTCGACTCTCCTTTCCTATTTCACATACAAAAGTAGTTTTCAAATTCAGCTCACAGTAACTTTACAACTGTACTTATGAAGCATTTTCACACACACTGTATACATCTCAGCTACTTGTCCAAAAGTAAATTGTCCTAAAGTTGCCTACATGGAAGGTGTCCACAATCGCACTGTCCTGTCTTTGGAGGAAGTAGCCACCAGAGAGCCAGAAGGGGAAAACTGCACCCCAGTGATGACATCCTGGTGTCCATCAAAACGAAAGGCTCTTGCTTTGGGGGTCAAATTCCAGATCATCAGGGTCTTATCTACTGAACCTGAGGCTGAAGGAAGACAAATAAAAGATGAGGCAAAAATCATTATTCAGATTAACAAACAAACTGCTAATTACTTATTGTAAAATAAAAAGGGAAATGAGAAATATGAAAGGGTCATCTTCATACATTTCTCAATCAGTCTCTTTTCCTTGTGAAGGCATCAAAGTTTTAGCTACATTTTGTTTGTTTATATGTCAACAGTGATCAAACTTACTATGCAACACAGTGATGTGCGACTTCCAGGTAGTGACAAAGTTGGATCAGTTTTCACTCCTGAGTTTTTTTCCTCATATTCTTTTTTACCTTAGATTTTTTTCTTATATTCAAAGTTGCGGTAATTAAAGTAATTGAAACCTTTCCTGAATTAATTCAATTCCATGTTGTAAGGCAACAAGACAGGTAAAGAGCACAGGTTGTTAATAGTTCAATAATGTGGTTTAAGACACATTATGATTTATAGAATCAAAATATGCATATAATTAATAATGCTGCTTTGATAGAAACATTTTAAATACAATTGCATATTTGATGAGATTTGGAATTTGAAAGAACACACACAACTACCAGTAACTTTAAGCAGAATTGTGTTAAAAGTCTGAAAATGTCTTAATTTGTAAAAATCAAGAAGGACCTACCCAGCTGTTTAAGGTTTGGACTAAAGTCTGTACAGGTGATGGCATTTTTATGGCCTTTAAAATGTCTCTCCAGGGTGGGATCCTCCTGTAAATACATCATTGATTTTCAAGAGAAAAGGGAGAGATGAAAGCAGCATTAAACCATGTCGCCTATTGTGCCAGTTCAGCCACCGAGGATGCCTCGACAGATTCTCAAAGACAGGGTTTTGTCGTAAGACCTTTATTTCCTGCATGGTTGTGTATGTAAAAAAACACACACACACATACACACACACACACACACACACACACACACACACACACACACACACAAACACACAAACTTGGGCTCAGTGGTTCAGTGGCTCAGTAGTTCCTGGCTGGATCCTGATCTGCAGTTCTCCCTCTCCACACCTATTATCACAAGTTTGTGACAATCCATTTCAAACATTATGCATCTAAAAGAAAGTATTTTGCCCCAATTACAGTTAAGGTGTGTTCAGTACATTCATGTAGATCTGTTGCAAAGCCCAGTTTGTTTTTGTTACCAATTTACTTGAATGCAAATCTGCAAATGCAAATATGTTATTGTCAATAATCCATGCTGGGTTGATGGCAAAACATACAAGTGTGACATTAGTGCCTCCAATATGTTCAAACTAGATTAATTTTTTTCTTAACTTTTTATAACACTGACTTTGACTGTTCAGCCTAGACGGATAAACAATTAGGAAAACGTTTTTTTTTAACTAAATAAATGAGTCAACGACTCAACGGCATAAAATCTAAAAACATTAGCCAACAACTAGTACCCTGACTGACTAGTACTATTCCCATGCTGACATTAGAGACCTAACACTGAATTAAAAACTTGGCGAGTTTAAGAAATGTATTAACAAGAGGTGTATCAAGGACATAACCCTAAAGGCGTTTTGGTCATCCTATCACCAAATCCTCTTAACAGCGGCTCAGCAGGCACTAACTTTTTCTCCATCGGAACCAACTTCCGGTATTTTTTTCCTCACTTGTCATTTTGAACATAGCGAAACAAATCCTCACTTACCAAAACAGACGCCATCGTGGATTATTGCAGAAAAAGCTAATGATATCGACGAAATTTGAACAAACCCGCTGTTACGCATATCCAGGTCTGTCAACAGTGCTCCTTCTGGAACTGTTTCAGACCTGACATGTCGAACACAGATACAGCTGTTCTCTTTGTAAATAATTGTACAACTTAAATCACAATGTCAAGAACTTTTAAGTTTCCATATTAAGAGTTTTATTTTCCCTTGAAATAACTTATTGAACAAAACCGCGGCTGGCTTAGTATACTGTATACCCAAACGTTGTGGCTTCCTGTCTTTTGAGACAGACCAATGCTGTTGCATTCAAGACGTTGCGTGCAGTAGTACGTTTGAAAATTCCTTCTAAAAACTCACAATATATTGACACATATCACAGACAAACACTATAAAAACACTATAACTTCTGTGTCCGTACCCACTGAATATTTAGAATTTGGAGCTATCCGACGAATAAGATATATGTACCAAGAATTTACAAGATAATGTCAATTTAATATATTTTCAAGGCTATAGTTGTTTCAAATAAAACATATCCACCAAATAAATACACTTCATTAGTACTTGTAACATAGAACGCAAAAAATCTTATAGTGAAAAAAAGATATGTGTAAAATGATTAACTTAGCTAAAGAATGTGGCATGAACGCTACATAAGAAGACCGTGGAGCGTCTTCCGCTGCTAGGCAACTAGCCAGTCAAACTGATCTTTAGAGGCCCAGTATCAGCTTCTCTGGTTGGACTTTTAGTAGACAATGGCGAATCATCGTTGACTTTATTGGAAGTGTAAACTAACGCCTGGTGTGGTTTGAAAATATGTCGCTGAACCGAAGCATCGGAAGAGCAGAGGTAAAGTTAGAAAGATGACAATAGTGCACATTTTATTCACCCTTGGAAAGGCAGTGCTCCATAGTTGTTCCTTTCGCGTGACTAATACTTAATACACTGTATATGTAAAAAACACCTAATAACATGTCTTAGCAAGCTAACTAGGTAGCTGTTAAGTAACCATATCAACAAAGTCGTGTCGTTATATATACCCTGAGAATGATTATGTTAGTTAAGTTTATTACTATTCTCTCAAAAGTCCTGAATTTAGGAATTATGGCTATACGAAAACAGTTATGCCATTTTATCCCCACAGTACATGAAAAAGAGGATACCGAAATTATCAAAGTATGACCACGTCAAAACAAGGCTCGACACAGGTACCGTATCTTCACCATAAAGTCAATTATAGTAAAAAGCTTATTTGTCTCAAGATCTAATTAATTTTTTTTTTTGCCTGTCTCTCTTTCACATGGTGTTATTGCCATGTGTAGGATGCAGCCTTACGAAGTATATGGAGAGACTGGAAGATATGAGAAAAAGTGAGTAACTTTGGATGGATGCTTAATGTCTTTATGAACCTGTACATTCCTTTTTAAATAGACAATCGTTGGATATTTTTATATTGATATTTAATCAGTTTACCGTAGTTGTTTTTTTATATTTTTTTCTTCTATTTTTTCTATTTTTCTTTCATTCACTTCAAAAGTAAATCAGTACGGATTGAGGATTAATCATTACAAAACAAGCTCATAACGATGGAAACATTCTATGAAATTACCATTTAGCAATATTCACAACCTGCCTGTTGGATAGACAGACAGAAAAATACACATTTATGTCTTATAAAGCAACATTTGACAATATCCCCCTGTTTTTAGTTAAAGTAAGAGCAGAGACTTTACCCACCAGGTTTCTAAGCTGCCATTTCAACTGGTCCCATGAAACTATTTTGGTGTATTGGTAACACTTTTCTGTTCTAGGAGGATGTTAATGGTGGATCAAGTTATCAGGTTTTGCAGGACTTGGTGAAATTCACATATGATCCCTGCCCAGTGAAAGAATCCTTTCTTGCTGTTTTTTTTTGTTGGCCTCTAACAAGATAATGGGAACCATTTGTAATTCAGTTAAAATACGATTTGCCAGCTTGGAACTTGAAATGTTTTCCCAAGAATCCATGCCTGTCTGCTTGTAACCTAAACCCAAGTAAAGCAGAATAGTTCTATCCCATTTATATTTCCCAGTTAAAAGAGTTCTTTGTGGGCAGTTACTTTTCTCAGACTTCACAGGGATAAGTGACATTGTCTCTTCCATTCTCCCAGTACTTAATTGTACTGTTGTCCATAATAATTGCTTGCTGAGAATAGCCCCAGACTACAGGGACATGCTGGCAAGCTCCTAATAGGGATCTTTGTCAGGGGCTGAGGTAATGAAGTTGCACTAACTGAGCAGCATAGATAAATAGAGTCTGACTACACTGATGGGTGTTGTAAGCTTCAGCTAGAAAGCAATATGGGGTCGAAGAGGGTAGGGTTGCAGTTTAATGAAGCATTAGAGAGTTGAGGTCAAATGGGACAAGCTTTTATGGTATTTTTGCTCTTTTACAATGGAAGCTTATAATTGTTTCATCCCTTTTTGCAAGATTTCACTGACTGGTGCATTTTTATTTTATCTTTCAAGATTACAGGTATCGAAAAGATGAAATCTTCAAGCGGTTAAAGTGTACAACGTTTGCACAACTAGTAAGTCTGATAAACTCTCTGGTGATTTCAACCTTTATGTTGAACTAATGTTTTGCATGTCACAGTAATTTTTGGTTCACTTCTGGATGTTCAGTATTACAAAGATGGTTGTTTTCTTTTCATTGGGATGTGTTGCCATGGAAGCCTGAAAGTAATTCATTGAAATAGTATGTTTAAGATATCAACACATGCAAAATGCTGAATGCTGAAAGGAATGCTTATGTAATTTAAAGCCAAGTAATTTCTGTTTAACTTTCTTTATTACACATATTTGAAGTGTGTAGTGCATGAAAATAGTTTAATTTATTTTTGCAAACATTTTATGTGGGGTTTTATAACCTGGATAAAATCAAACTAATTTTCTGCTTTTTTTTAATAGATTTTTGTCGGCTGGTTTCAGTTTAATCTGTTTTAAAAAACCGCACAAATATGCAGAAACTGAAAACCTTGGTTGACTATTTGAGCTGATAGCTAGCACCATAGAACTGCTTAACATGGTCTTCATCATTAGGGTTAAATGAGCTGTTGACACCTAGAAAATACACCCAAATGTTTTGATTCTGTTTGTATTACAGGCCCTGTGTGAACTGCTCTTTTTAAAAATCTACATCTGTTTTTATTTTTAATGAATTTACCATTTTTCTACACCAGATAATTCAGGTTGCCTCTATTTCAGACCTGAGTGAAAGTGAGATTGATGGAAATTCACAAGGTATACAAGGCAGCATATTTTTAGTACAGCTTTTCAACAGTGCTGGTGCTGTTTCACAATAACATCTGTTTTTTATTGTAGATAGTCTGTCGGTGGTGTCTGATGCAGACTTGGAGTGTGTGTCTGAACGCATGAATGTCTCCCCTATGACGTCACCCCAGTTGCCCAGTCAGGATTTAGGAGACAACAAGGACATTTGCCCCACTTCCAGGTCTACACTTCTAAGGTATGAAACGGTATGAAACCATAGGAGGCATTTCTGAGTCCACACTAAACACAAAAAAAACATAACTCTGAGTGGTACTCAAGCTTGAAGGGAGTTTCTAGTGTATGATTGAACAGTCTCAGCAAGATGTAGTCAGCTATTGTGTCCAGCTTTGTTTATTCATGTGCTTATAATCTCTGTCATTTGTCAAACTATATTTTAGTTGAAAACATATTTTTCATTGACTGGAAAAAATGACTGTGTGCTTAGGATGAAACTATTATTAGTTTAGCTTTAGTTTCTGTTTATATAAGAAAGAGTCCTATGTGCCATAAAAAAAAATCTGAGATCATTTTGAAACAAATCATTCAGAAATCTGTGGATAATTATCAGGGAGCAATGGATTGTTCTGAAAGAAAAACAGCAGGAAATTATGTGCAAAGACAAATAAAACTCAAGAAATTGTGATGGCAAATATTTTGAATGTTAAAGCTACACTGAGTACTTGCTGACCACTGCCTAATAGCCACTCTGCTCAACAAGTACAGTGTCAAATCTTCATTTTCTTACTAGAGGAGGTCATGGGATGGATCTACAAATTACTCAGTTGTACACACATTTTAAACAATTAATACATCTACATTCTATCAGATTTACCCATATCTTTTCAAGTTGTTTAAAACTCGAGATCTTAAAAATTCCTCTAACAGACACAGCTAAATAACCACCCATAAACATAGGGACACCATAACCTGCCCAGCACATAATAAACACACTTGCAACTCGACATCGCCGTTATACTGTACACATATCTGTTCCCAAAAGGCAAGTATGACCTCGTTTTCTGTCCCCTAAGACATCTCCCAGCCGATCCTCCTTTGTGCTGTTTAATAGCCTGCATCTAGTGACTCCTACCTGTTGCCTTAACTGTACCCTCTCTCCTTTTCAGAATGCAAATCTGATAGATGTAACTGTATCTGTCTTTGCACTAGCTTAATAAAACTATCCCCAATTAAAGCTGTCATCCAGATGTGTTTTTATACTTGCAAACAAAGAATGAAAAAAGGCTTGCAACTGATTGGCCTTTCACCCACAGTGTCATCAGTGGAGTGGGAGAGCTAAACTTGGACGAGAAGAATCACAAGATGGCAAAAAAGTTGGTACAAACACCAGTTGATGGGCCCTACCCTGACTGCCCCTATCTGCTGTTGGACGTGAGGGATTGCGAGCAGTACGACAACTGCCACATCATCAGCGGTGGGTAGCAAAAACACAGTCAGTTATTAAAACCTGTTAAGATTGAAAACATTTTGAAAAATACTATTTTAATCGTCTCTCATTTCTACAGCTCACAGTTTCCCCATCGCCATGCTGTCTCGGACAATTAACCCTTACACAAAAGAAGTTCTAGAATATGTATCCTTTATCACAAACTGCACAAAACATTTAGTTCTCATTATATAATGTAAATAATTTCCTAGGATTTGCATTATACACCATAACTATAAACTGTGCAGAAAAACGCTCCAGGAAAGATCATTATTGTGTATGACGAAGATGAGAGAATGGCCAGCCAGGCGGCTACCGTCATGTGTGAACGAGGATTTGAGAATCTCTTTATGCTTTCTGGGGGTAAGATCTAATGTCTCAAGATGTAGCTAATTCTAAATTGAAGAGCTGTCTTGTGTCTCCAAAATATCAAAATAAGACTTCTACGATTGACCCAAGGGTTTTGCGATACCTATTATTTGAAAGTTTTTGGCCATGTTCGGGTTTGCAACAGAAACAAGGTTTACGTCGTTGTAAACACTCATTTAGTTGTGCCAACCAAGCTATGGAAAAAAATTGCATCTTGGTTGTTTGGCTTCTGTAAATAACTTCAGAGTTAGGTCTGACCTGCTCTGTTTGGAAAGCACTGTGAGATAAGCGTTGCTGTGATGTGGCGCTATATAGATAAAATTTAAGTGAAATGAAATGGTTAGGTGGCAACCTTTACAAAAGACACACACTAAGAAAGGATAACAGTATATTACCCAGTTGAATAACTAGAGCAGAGCTGTCAGTTTTTTATAGATTATGAAGATAGTTGATGTTAGCTTTATTTAGTTTCCAATAGTGAGGCAGCTGTTCACGGGCTATTTAACATCCGCATGGGAACAGTTTTATAATGAATAATGCTACAAAGTGTTCAGTTGCAGTTGGTGATAGGTTTACTTTGGGGCCTCAAATTATAACTACTGGTGCTTCAATTATTTGTAGTGCTTATATTTCCAAACAGCAATAAGGAAATACTGTTAACATAATTGATTTTATTAAATGCAGGCCTTTTTAACAAAAACTCTACATAAATTATCTGATCTATTTTTAATATGAAAGATTTTTTATTTTTAGTATTGAACTTAAAGAATTGGTCATGTTTAATGACCACAACTCCTTCTCTCAAAATACGTGCTGTCTTCTCTGGCCTCCTCAGGTCTAAAGGTCATCGCTCAGAAATTTCCAAGCGGGATGACCACAGGCTCCATACCCGCGTCCTGCCTTTTGTCTCCAAAATCACAGAATGAGAAAAAGAGTTCTACACTGCAGCAACCTATGCAGGCAGCAGATAGAAGGTGGCGCTTTACATCAGATGAGCTGGCACAGATCCAGGAGCAGCTTGAAGAAATATTCATCCCAAGTAACTCAAGCAGTAAGTCCAGAGAGTCAAAGACTAATTGTCCAGTTTAAATCAAGAGTGGTGGGGAATGCATTGTTTTAGGCGTTCATATGGCCCGGGAAGATGATTCTAAGAAACCATTCTGAGTATAGCAGACTGTTCACCTGTTTATAAATCACATTTTAAGAGTTTACAGCTGATTTTGCAGTGAGTTTTTTTTGTCCTGTGTGTTCACTGTAGGTCGCTTATCCAGTCGCATGTCGGACAGCAGCATCCAGTCAAAAGCCTCCAGCCATCAGAACTCCACTGTAGGCAGAAACAGCTCCAGGGTTCAGAGTAGTAGACCTTGGAAATAACCCCAGATGTCCTTCAAACAACAAACATACCTCCATCACAAAGTCCATTTATCATTTGCGAAATGACCCTAGATTAAAGTATACAAACTACTGTCAGAGAGAAAAACATGACACTTTACAATTGCTACATTTATAAAATTATGAGGGTTTTTTATTTCTTGTACCATCTTTCTTTCCTTACTTTACACAACCACAGCAATAACTAATACATTTAAACTTTAACAGAATATTCACATCTTGACAGCAAAATTAACATGGCATTTGACAAAAAATGTAGAAACAGCACATAAATGTCACTTCAGAAAAATATTTTACTTTTTAACTCTTGCACAGTGCCTAAGTAAGAAGTGTCAGCTCTTTTTGCAATTGGCTCAATAGTTCTTGCAACACTATCCACCATTTTTAAACAGCTAATTTATTTATTTTCTGTCAATAATCAAACACTATTTTACTTTTATAAATAGGGCCTATGAATGTTTATATGTGTGAAGAATATGCTGTGAATCTCTGAATCTGAAGTTTCTTTATACATAGGAAGTCTGATTTTTAAGTTGAAAAGGAGTCGATCTGAAAACCCATTATGGTCCACCAGTAACATTTATGTCAATTGTTTCAACTGTTTTTAAAGTCTGTGTTTGTGGTTATAAAATTGGTGTAAGATAGAAGGAATTATTGATAGAGGCCTTCCAAAAAACAGATGTGCTAAGTACAAAACAAGTATTTAATGGACAGTCATTCTTATTTGTGGCCTTTTATCTTGAAGGTATATTAATGGCTTGTTGTTTGTGTTTGGGCAGATTTCTGTGAAGTGAGTCTTATTAAAATGTTGGCCTTGTTTGAACCTTAATGCACATTTAAAAAATGCTTGCATGATATTATCTGTAAAATAGTAATAACAAATAAAGAGATGTTCGCTGAATCACTAGTCCTTCATGACAAGACACCTTTGTAGCAAAGTGATTGCCAAAGTGATTCCAGTCGTAAAACAGTAAGAAAACCCTCCTTTTATATGAGTGAGTATGTAAAAATGTTCTCTTTTGTATACACACACGCATACATAAACGCTATCAAATGAGTTCTTCTAGGCCTGAAAAACTAATATGGATTCTTTAAAATGTAATCCATGATGAAAATATGAACCAGCCAAGTTCCTTAAGCAGTGGGGAGGATTTGATAGGCATGTAGAATAAAGTTTAATCGGCCAGGGTCTCTCAGCTCATGGGTGTGTGAGTAATTTATGCCCTGGTTATATGTCCAGTCAACAGTGCCACCACATGCTTGGTCGACAACAAAAGAAAAGTGCTAATATTTGAAGGACAAATCACATTGGTTCAATATTCATGCACCTGAAATAGCTTCTAAATCTAGTTTGCGTTTGACCCAACCTACAAGGATAAAGTTCAGAAAAAAATTAAATGGGCAAATTGGTACATATGTTCCATGCATGTGAAACGGTGCATTACCTCTGGGTGGTAACTATCCAATGTATCAATAAAACACTGAGGGTAGAAGCTCAGGGAGGGACAGGCTTTATTTATTCTTGGTATTTTTCCAAACAAATGTGGCCTTTCCACACAAATACACACATGGGTGAAATTAGAGACACCGGAAGTCAAAAGAAAAGATCCGTTGTAAAGAATGGAGCAATAAACTATCCAAGAAGGCCTTTCTTGAAAAACATATTTATAGGATTTAAAACCATTTAGATCTCCTTTTGAAGGTATTAGCTTCTTAATTGGTTTTAAGGATTAGTATATGTACCCCTATATACCTTATATCCATGTAAACTGAGGAAATATACATGTCATACAACATTGTTCTGTGACAAAGCTGTCAAGAATGTGCACCTCATTATTTAACTTTTTTTTTTCTTTGTTTATTTTGTAAAGTTTTCTCCTACTGTTTGACTTACATTTTCAATTTGCAATGCTTATATTTACACACTGGCTGTGTATTTGTATTTGCAATGAAAAGTCAGTAAAGAAGTTAAATACAAAAAAAAACTATTCATGTTAAGGAAGACTATACTTCCTCTCATCCATGGCAGCTAAAACATGTTTCATACCGTCGTACCATGGACAGCATAAATCAATATGTTTATTAAAAATGGGTCAGGCTTGGTCAGGAATTTGCACCTTATTACTTAACTTTTTATTCACTTTATTCTTTATTTGTTTTTATTCATCACTTTTATTTCATTTTTTGTTTTTTTGTTTTCTTGTAGTCTTTGAATTTTGACTTGACTCTATTTTTACTTTGCAATGCTTAAATTTACACAGTGGCTGTGTATTTGCATTTGAAATGAAAAGTCAATGAATAAGTTAAATAAAAGAAAGACCTGTTCATTTTAAGGGAGAGTATCCTTCCTTTCATCAATGGCTGCTAGAACATTTCTCATATTGTTGTGACCCTGGACAGCATATATCAATAAGTTTGCTGTGTCGCATATTGATCAGGATTTCTGCCAAAAAAGACTAGTTTACTGTGACATCCACATCCATACTTTATTTATTTATTATTCTGCTTGGGAAAAGCAGCAGCACTGCCAGATTAAATGTTGCAGTGTGTATAGTTTGTGAAACTTATGAAAAACTATAACCTTAATTTCTTTAATATGTTCATTTATTCCAAGTTTTATGGTCCTAATGAGGTCAAAAAATCCATGCTCCTTCTTCACACACTTAATATGGGTTCTTTGAGGTGTGATCCATGATGGCCATCAGAGCCAACCAGGTCTCCTGAGCAGTTGGGATGATTTGTTTGGCTGGCAAGAGGAAGCCATAACGACCTGTATCCCTGAGCTCGAAGGTGTAAGAGTACTTGATGCCCTGCTCGTAGGTCCAGTCAACGGTGCTACCGCTGGCTTGGTCTGAAAATAAAACAAGCATTGTGTTATTCTTTCAAAATGAGAGAACAAAGTCAAATGAACACTGCAAATTTACAAAAGCATGCTATTGCCTTATATGTATGATATATATACGTATAGATGTATATGCATATAGTATATTTAGATAGCCAACTAAATAGCAAGCTAAACTTTTTCCAGTGGTAAAATTTCAAAAGTTGGCTTCTATAAATATAAGTTAGTGATTTCTTTGTTTTTTATTAAGTCATTATCAACACTTGCATTAAGTATATCTTGTGTGCCTTTATGTGAAAGGTTGAATAAATTAATGCAGTTTAATTATTCTGAAGGAAAGCAGGAGATTCTCTTTGAAATAGGTCTTTCCTGTGTGTGGCATTGAACTTGATTGTTATGGCAGGTAATGCTGCTACTTACAGATGGTTTCAATGATGCTGCCATATCTGTAGCGAGTACCATACAGGGAGGCCAGGTCAGTGATGGCCTTCTGTGCCAGTTTGTGCTGCAGGAAGAGTTGCTGTTGAATATTCTTATACTTCAATCATAACATGCTATTTTTCTTTGGCTTTAAACATTAGAACAAGTCATGACAGATCATGTTTATACCAGCTCAGCCTTGTCCTTAGCAGGTGTCATCGTGTAGCCAAAGGGGTACAGGAGCATCTGAGAGTATGCGTGGATGGAAATAAACGCCTTGATGTTACCATGGGATTTCACAAAGTCCACAATTGACTTAACCTCAGATTCGGAATGAGGACTGGGTCCACGGTAGGTCTCAGAGCAAGGATTGTTGCTGGCACCAGGTGCTATAAAAGAGGACAACAAACCAAGACAAACAGATTCCAGGATTTAGGCAAAAGGTAGGAATGACAAGCCAGTACCACTGCCCAGTGTGATGTTATGGTTTGTAAAGTACATGGTGCAAGACTTCTTTGAATTTGTGAGACATGTACACAATATATGACTTGTGGATATCATATCATAGCTGACTAAAAAGCATAATGAAAAAAAACATTTGTCACCAATATTTTACTTCTTCGTGTTGAGATGTACTCATTTAACATCTGATGAGCTAGACAGATTTTTACCTAAACCAGTTGCTGTAAAGTGTAAAGAAATCAAAACTGTACCTTTATGTATTTCAAGAATAGAAGAGAACATTACCTCCAAAACCAGAATCCCAGTTCCTGTTTGGATCTACTCCAATGCAACTAGAACCAGGGTTGGGCTTCCTTGTCTTACGCCACATACGATTCTGAAACATTAAGTTATTCCCAGATTTAGGATTTGCATACATCACACATTCCATTATGTTTCCTGTCGCTCTGATATGAAATTATTCTAAATCAGACGGTAAAAACTATGACCAACTTACTGAAGTGTGGCTGAAGTAATATCCATCAGGATTGGTCACAATCTCCAGGAAGATGTCCATCTTGTCCAGGATGGCAGTGAGAGCAGGGTCACGTCCATAATCACTCACAATCTAATAAAAAAGTAATGCATCAGACATCACAGTGTAAGTTCAGACGTTGATTATCAGAGAGGGCTTAGATAATGATATGTAAGTATAGGTATACCTTCTTGGCAAACCAGGTTCCACTGGCCTGAGTAACCCATTCTCTGGAGTGGATTCCAGTATCAATCCAGATGGCTGGACGATTGGTTCCCCCAGTGCTGAACTAAGACAAAGGTACAGGCAGAGGATGTCATGTTAATGTGCTTTATAAAAAACATGTTTATTATTTTCTTAAATAGCTTGAATTAAAATTTGTCTACTTTTTTGGAGCAGATGTGAACTTTGTGGACTTTCCCTCACCTTGAGAACGTTCAGAGGACGGCCCTGGTAGCTGTGACCGATGACTATCTTGCTCACCAAGTTGGGATTCTCAGCAACAAGCATATCCTGGAAGTTATAGATCTAAAGCAAAGAAAAATTCTGGTCTGAATGCATAGGCATCACCACCACTGACATTGTAAATTTCCATGGCCATGATTATTACTGACGATCAGCCCTTTACGGTCTTTTAGAAGCTAAATCAAATGAGTGCACTGACATCACTGATGCTGTGATATGTGGAGTAGTCATAGCTGTCGGTGCTTCTTGGCTCGGCAAAACGAGCACCAGAGTCCATCTCCTCCTGCTCCTTATCCAACAGGGCCTGAAGAGCAATGATGTAATTCACGTGTCATGATATTAAAAAATAAGAGTCATTCCAGAAACGAAGGCATTCTCAGAATGTACCTGTAGGTCTTCAATCATGATGGAGTACTCAAGGTCCATGCTGTCCAGATACCTTTTGACATGCTTCTGTGTATGGGAAGGAACTCTTATATCAACAGGGGATGAAACAACAGTAACCCCTCTCCAGATGTCCATCTGAAAGAACACACACATCATAAAAGTTCAAAGAACACATGATTTGATCTTAGAGGTATAGTCCATAATTGAATGTCTATCTAATTAATTAGAAATGGTAAAATACCTCAAACTCAATCATGTCCTCCAGACTCTTGATAAGAGACAGATGAACTTCATTTTTTGGGACAATTCGAATCACCTGATGCCTGCAAAATGACATGTTTTTTTAGAACATTTCAATGCAAAAACATTATATGAGCTGTGACATCTCACAGAACATTTGTGTGCATAGAGTGATGTTAAATCAGATATCCGTATCATGTGAGATGTGTAGGCTCTATCCATCATGCAGCACCCCAAAGTAACCACGATATAAAAACTGGTTGGTACACTGTAGCCCGGGGGAGGGGAAAAATAGCTAGTTCCATTCAGAATTTTTAATCGAAACTACTGGACTCCTGCAAAAATGTCTATTTTGGCAATTAGGGAGAAGGAAATGGACAAATTGGTACATGATATGTGAAACAGTGGTTTTTATCCAATGTGTCAATACAACACTGAGGGTAGAAGCTCAGGGAGGGACCAGTTCTATGTATTCTTGGTATTTTACCAAAGAAATGTGGCCTTTCAACACAAATACACACATGGGTGAAATTAGCTGAAGAATGGAGCAATAAACCATCCAAGAAGGCCTTTTAAAAAAAAAACATATTTATAGGATTTATAACCATGTAAACTGAGGAAATATACATGTCATGTAACATTTTTCCGTGACAAAGCTGACAAAAATGTGCACCTTATTATTTAACTTTTATCTTATCTTTTGTTTATTTTGTAAAGTTTTCTCCTACTGTTTGACTTACATTTTCAATCTGTAATGCTTATATTTACACACTGGCTGTGTATTTGTATTTGCAATGAAAAGTCAATAAAGAAGTTAAAAACAAAAAAGAACTGTTCATCTTAAGGAATACTATACTTCCTCTCATCCATGGCAGCTAGAACATGTTTCATACCCTTGTACCCTGGACAGCATAAATCAATATGTTTACTGAAAATGGGTGTCACATATTGGTCAGGCTTTCTGCAAATTCAAGCACCTAAAGTAACCCCATTATAAAAACCCGGATAATCCATGTAGAATGATAAAGTACTCTCTTGTGTCACAGTGCAACTCCAGAAAAGAAAAAATATATATATAGAATTCCGTTGTTTTCTCCACTGATATTACACTTTTCATACCATGAATGGAGGTTTTTGAGGAAACACAAATCAACGTTGGATATATATGTAATGTGGTTTGTGGAAACTAAATAAAAATGCAATGTCTCATTCTGGCTTTTCGGCAGCTGAAAAATAAGCAAAACATATGTTAAATATATAAAACATTTTTTATTACGTATGTGGTATGTGTTCACCACTTGCTTGTCTAAATATGCAGTGCATTGAAAATTTTTATTTTGAAGAAATTGCACCATTGCGAAGTCATTGACCATCCCAAACACTACTTTGTCCACTTAATGTAAAGAAGTAGGGTACTCACAGACCATGTCCACTTTTCCCAAAGTTTTAACACGCCAACTTACCCCTCAAATGTCTCCCTGCCCAGAGCGGCCGCAAACAACGCAAAGAATGCGAGCAGTACCTTCATCCTGACCACCAGTGTGAGCCTGGCTGTGAAAAACACTGGCTTTTATGAGGTAAGGTGTGCCATTGCGGCCTTGCTCAGGATGATAGAGGTGTGCTACCGGCTGCTCTGGTTCCCACACCGACCTGAAGATACGCACCAAATGTTGTTCCACTCAGTTATTTATGTTTGCACACGGTGAACTTCTCTCCACTTTTCAAATAAAAAGGAAGGCCTTGACGTTTTTCTTTTTTTTTTCTTGGTTGATCTGAAACACAAACATTAAATGGAGATATACTGGGAGAACCTAACCAAAGGATATAATGTTGTCTCAGTGTAGCCAATAGTTTTCAACGAATTTTCTGTCATTTTATTTCAAATATGTACCCATTTTAAACTTCTCCCACTCTCTAATTCGTTTCACTGACCATTTCTTTAGTCCATGATATGAATAAAGTATATGTATATGAGAAAAAATGTTAAGCAGAAACTGCTGTAAGCAAAGTTTGCCCAAGGTACATATTTAAGAACATTTTGTGCAAGTCAGCTCATGTTTCGTTGCACAACAACATTTGAATTCTTACTCTTTCTCAGTTTGTTCTTCGTTACTGGAACCAGGCATTATTCATAATTATCAGGCCAGCTGCAAGAAACACATGCACTCTGAATGGTACATAATAGCAAAGGAAAAAATCTCCAGACCCAAGGTCAATGCGCTGTCAGTGTAAAACTACAGTGTAAATGAAAGCAACTATACTAGTACTTGACTCATGAAAAAGCAATTGTGTTTCCATGTGCTGACGTAATTTAAAGAAGCGTTTACCTTCATTCTCCATAAAAGACACATTAGTGAAAATGGCAAGGAAAATTATTTTAATATGGACCACACTGTAGGCCTTTTTATGAATAACCTATGATTAATGTATCAAAAAAATAAGCGCATTACAACTTAAGACAAGTTTTTAACAAACAAACATTTAGATGCTATGATCAATCACACAACATTTTCCTGATCATAACTTTGTTGCTTTTCTTGTGTAAGTAGACAAGGGAAAAGAAAGTTGTGGACTAAACTGAGACTAGAAGCTAATAAATTAAAATATCTGCTGATTTAATGGACCTATAGTAAAGCAGACAGTTTGCTTGGTCCAAATCTATCTGTCCTGCTGAGATTCTCTCAAATCTATCTGCTAAATTACAGCACTGAAAGTAATAACTATGTTAGGGTTTAGTTTTCTCTGCTCCTGTCAAAAAGTTGTTTGTTCTGATAAAACGGAGTAAGTTCAGGATGTCACACTCAGTGGAAAAAAATAAACTCGTACCTTTTCGCTCTCAGAGACCCAGACCTACCTCATGCATGGAAAATGATTTGTCTCCAGTAAGCAGTTTTCACATGTTCCTTTGTTTGTTCCCAGATTCTACCTGGAAAACAAAACCTTAACGTCTTAAAAATATTAAGCAAAAAGGCTGATAGTATAAGTTCTGTTCACGTCACGGTGATACAGCATTTTCAGTATTTTACATAACTTCCCCTTTATTATTTTTTTCTACTGAAACATGTGATCAAATGCATATTATTGCAGATAATATTGCATAGGTTGGTCAGTATCCTCAAAAGTAAAAACTTATCAATTGGAAAAAACAACCACAGATATCTGCAGATTGAAGGTCTGCAGAATGTCTGAGACCATTAAGATTATAATGTCAATTTAGACATTGTAAAAGAGTAAGAGATCAGTTCAAACCTTTTTCGATCTGGTTCAGGACTCCACCAGAGATAATATCATGCCAATGTGCATCAGTCAATCATCTTTACACAGCAGATCAGATAAATGTTGATGAAATGACAATAAAACTGCACTTAATAAAGGCAAAAAAACTATATATATACTGTATATATATACATTCACAAAAGCTAATAATGTTGGAATTTATTACTCAGAATTTAAAAATAAGACAGATATGTATGAATAAATTCACTTTAGGACAAAAAGTTAACTTCCAGAGGTGGACAGTAATAAAATAAATGTACTTGAGTAAGGTTTCTATGTAGACTTTTTGAGAATTTGTACTTTAATTGAGTAGCATTAAAAAAAAGTATTGCTTTCACTCCACTACATTTTAACGATTAGAAAATACGTTTTGCTCCACTACATTTTTCTGGTGGCTTTTGCAACTCGTTAATGTATTTTGCATCTATGTTGGCTCTCCAACGCGCTCTAAAAAACAAACAAACAAAAAACCTCCCTACTCACTACTCCCCCGTACGAATCCCCGATCAGCACACACTGTCCTTTGTGCCCCTGGACAATACACGTAACCTTATTCTTCACTTCACACAATTAAAATAGACAGCTGAAACCTTTTCTTTTCAATATTATAAATTCAGAGGTGTTTTACTTTTACTGGAGTAATATTTGACCAGTATTAACTGAATTTTTACTGAATTCATAAAACAGAGTACTTTGTGCAACACTGGCCTTTAGTAATGTCAAACTAAAGAAATTATTGTAAAATAGAAGAAATTACAAAAAATATTTTTGCTGCTGGCAGGATTGACATTGTGTTTTAGTCCTTTATGCACCTGAGCTGAAAAGGCCTCTGATATAAGACACAGCTCTTAGTATAAATATGCTATACATGGTGTCTAGTTTCTAGACCTATAGAATAAGTTATGTATAGTATTGTTAATCAGTCCAAAAGTTATAGACAGAAAAATTCATTAAATTACCGGTAATTCATTTAAAAGGATTAAATGAATACATCTAATGAATATTTCTGTCCATAACTGGTATTGTATGTTACAGAGTATATATTCGCTAATAGCTCTTTTTTTTTTTTAGCAGTTTGTTCATTTTCTTTGACTCAGCCTCCTATTTAAAGTGACTTGTGGATGTGGAACAGCCCTAAGGTCAAACTGCAAGCAAAATAAAGTCTGTTCAGTCCCCATGCAGTGTGGAATTGCCCTTCAGCACCAATACAACATTTGGCATCCAACAACATAGATCAGACCTCACAGTTTAACACAGAAAGTGTTAATCATAAACTGTTTATATATTTTTGAAACCACACTTTTCTACAGATAACACCCAATGCTCATTTCCCTTCAGAAGGTCTGCAGAGGCACTGACAGGCAGCTGCTAACCACCAATCTCTCTGAGGCAACACAGGATGTGGTGGTTTGTTTAGGAGAACATCAGTGAAACACAGAGACAACATATCACACATATTACTCCATCTGTGTGTGTGTGTGTGGGGGGGGGGCTGAGGAATGTTTCAAAATTGATACTCTGCACAAATAAAAAACGATTTAATTGAATAAAGTATGTCAAGTCGAACGGGCATGCTAGCATTTTTTTTAAGAAATACTTGAGGCAAGCAAGACGATCCAAGAGGAAAAACGCAGAGATGGCATGTGTGCAAACAGAACGTTGTCCTTTGTTGGGCTGAAATCACGCCCCTTCTATCCTCTGGTTGGCTGATGTGGATCCAGTTACTCGTTTTCTCCATTTTAATAGGTTTACATACAAATATGTCAAGGCAGTAGCTCCGTGACCATTTCCGAAAAGTGAACGGCAGTCCACGGTCAAAAGTTGTGTCAAGCTAGAAGGAGGCAACAAGGAAAGGAAACGACGATGCTTTCATGGTAAAGGTTACAAAAATGCCAACGGTTACATTGTATTATTGTGGGAATTAAAAAATAGTATAAACAATTAAACATGTTGATACTTTATATGATACAAGTTGGAAGGCTTAGATTAGAAAAGAAAATGTGAAAAAGGTAATAGCATTCCAGGAGGGGTCCTCATTCATTCATAAACATAAACAATATATATACTCGTATATATGCGTTTATGTTCATGCATTTAGGAGACACTTTTATTGAAGACACTATTATTACTACTTGTACATGACAAATTATTACTACGAGCTGCTCTGTCATTTAGCAATTGCAACATATGTTCACATGTAAATAAAAAAAAAATAGTGCTGGAAGCTTTCTGCATGAGGAAATGTCTTTATTTTGAAAGGTATAACCGGAAAAGGATCTTCTTTTTTCTGCTTTTACAGATGACCGTGTGCAGCCCATCAGCCCCTCTGAGCAAAAAGCTGCCAGGACAGCAGAGCTTCTGCCCCCTTCATTTTCTTTTATTGTGTGTTTTCGTCAACTGTTTTTGGTCGGAGAAGCTTCCTTTCAGAGGGTTAACTTCACGTTGAGAGACCCCAAGATGGAAATAGAGAAAGAAGTAAAGAAGGTAACTTTTACTTCCTTCCTTGACTGACCGGGGAACGCCCTAAAAGGTGCACCGAAGACGGGACAGGTGACGAGATAAGTCCCGGTGTTTCAGGCTGATTCAAATTAGCTTTGTCCCGCCTTCTAAATTAAACAATTTGTTGTACGACGAGTTAAAAAGTTGTAACAAATGATTATTTTTTAAGCAAAATCGTTATCCCTTTCGAAATTTAGAAATGAGTGATAAGCTCGAAATGCCTGTAGTTTAAAATTGATACTTTTTGTAGTTAAACGCTTCGTTTAGGCACTTAAACTTTTGGGTAAAAGTGGAAATACAGTTATAAATATCGAGTTAAGGAAGTGAAATAACTCATGAGTAAGTGTTGTTGGGTGAGGCTCACAGTGTTTGTCCACACTGCTTGTGTGGCCTTAACCAAATGTGTAGTTTACTCCTTCTTCTTATTTCTTCTATGATTGCAGGTTTTCAGTCAAATGCCTGTAATCACTGTCAGACAATGAGTTGCTTTAATTACAGAATCTTCTGTTTGTTTAAGTTACCAGATGTTCAAGTAAGGACATTTTACTTTCTGTTTGTAAGCCATTGTGCCTTATTTCATTCATCAACACATTTACCGCAGAACCACATCACAGAATAATTACACCTGGTCCTGGTCAGGCAATTGCATCCTACTAAAAATGAAGTCACTGTCCTCATTCCAGTGGCCCACCACTGTGTACTAGTCACCTTATTTGTTTAATAGTTGTTTCTTAGCTGTCTTTGAGCCCCTGGACAAGACACGTAAACCTCCCTGCCCATGTATGACTGTGATAGTTTTTTTTCCAAGTAATTTGAATACTTGATTATTTTTTAAAGCAGATACTCAAGTACTTTAACTCATTATTTAACAGAGATACTTTTACAGGACAAATATTTGACCAGCAGGATCTGTACTTTTACTCAACTAATAAACCAAGTACTTTGTCCACCACTGCAGATTTCTAGATAGACCAGTAAGCAGTACAGACCATCATGTCATCAGGCGGGAACCTGCTTTCATCATTGTTTTGTCTAGTCTGTCCCACGATCCCTTCAGGAGGCTAGGCAGTGACCACTGTCATCCCAGAGTCACCCCCTAATGCTAACATCTGCTGGCACTGCTCCTCCTCCCACAACAACCATCCCTTCTTCCATTGAAAGAGCTGTGGAGCATGGAAGAAAGTAGTATTAGATTTTGATAGGGGCAACATATGGTTTATTGCCAACTCCCCAGAACCCAAAAATCTGGGTCAGTTGAAATTGGTTTGTACAGTGTGCACATAAGGTATTTTGTGGAACTCATTTATTTACATAATGGGTTGTTTTGTTTTTGCATGTGTCACCTCTGCTTTTGAACTGAGTTTGAGTTAAACTAGAACTACAATGTACCAAAAAAAGAAAGTTATAAACTGTATAGGTTCACAGTCCACAGCTTTACATACTCAAACTTACTACATTGTTTTTACACAAAACTCTTTTTCTTTTCCAACACATGTAGGTATTCTAATTGTAGCTTGACACCACATTGATGTAGCCTCACTGACTGATTGAATGTGGCATGTAAGCCTTATAGAAGAACAATACTTACATTTGCCACTTACGTACTTCAGTATACAGAAATACTAATTACTTTTATATTTGTGTATGCATTTGTTTTGCAGATGACCCTTGGTCACGAGTTTGGAGCGGGGGCTGCTTGTCTGAAATGCAAAGATAAGTGTGAAGGGTTTGAGCTGCATTTCTGGAGGTTAGTATTGTTTTTTTTTTATTTGTATTTGAGTTTCTTCCATTGTCAACATGAGGTTTAAAGTGGGTCAATTTAGAATACATCAGTGTTCTATTAAAGGTAATTTAGTTAATGAAATGACTGACGAAACAGGATCAACATCAGACACTGTTGGTGTATGATTTTATAACTGAGTCTTCTTGAAAATGTAAAAGCAAAACAAAAAAAACATCCATTTGACCCAGTCTGGCCTCTTATGTCTTGCTTCAGTAAAAATCTCTAATAGCACAAGTTAACAGCCTAATTTGAATTATTATTGTTATTGAAAGCCCACATATCTCAGTTTCAACCCCTCTTTGACTAATTTCAAACTAAAGTGATGGCAGTGTGGTTGATTTTTCTAGTGACAGTAGATCCTTAAGGGGTTTATTGGTCCAATTCTACAAAGCAAAGGACAAAGGACGCTGGGAATTGCTTTTGACTCATACAAATTTATTGCATGTAGTGTATTGACGTCATACGCTCCTTTGCAGGAAGTCAGGACACATATACACTGTCCCACTGCACTGGAATGTATGTGACAAATTAATTTATCTTTTGCAAGTAAGGCTTAGTTTAAACAGCTAACACAGGAGCGTATTATTACTCTGTATCATACCTCAAGTCTGACTGAATCTGCAGGTTGAGGCAAGCCTTGTTGTTATAAATTCTGCCAAAGTTAAGCTACATATATGAAGATGGCTGTGCAAAGGCACATTCAATTTGCTGATATTTGAATCCATCAGGGGAATTGTGTTGATGTGCTTTTAGGGGAGAGGTGCAACTAACTGTCATTAACTTTACAATAAAACTCATTTAAAAAAGGTTGCTCAGGAATACACAACAGTGCTCTTTAGAAAATAGGCAGCGGATATACATTCTTGTTTTTTAAGCAACACAACAAATGTGTTTTTACATTAAAAAATATAAAAGCCCAGGTGAGAAAACACTTTGTTTTCTGTCACCTTTGAACCTTCACACAGAACTACACGAGAAGCTGAAGGGTATGAAATCAGAAAAGCTAAATGGGTTGGGGGTGTCATTTTTTGGGTTGGATGATGTGGTGTGAAATTATAATCATGTTTTTAATTGTATTAGTTTGTAAATATCTTTTGATGTGTCCAAATAGTAAAGGAAATTAAAAAAACAACATAATGCTAAACATTAGATTTTTTATTTTATTGGCCCTTCTATGATTTTTATAAAATAGCATTTTGTAATTATTTTTAAATTACGTTTGTACTTTTAAATTTAATTTGATTTAATACTATAATTTTCATTTTACACAACATAATAGATTATATTATTTGATCATCTCAATAGCCAAGGGGATTTTTAGGTTCTTGCCTGAGGGTTAACATTCCTTGGTATAATGTCTATGAAATTCTGTCACAGATGTGAATATTACTGATAGATGTATAGTCTATAAATTCCCATTGAAACATCAGCTCTTTTGTCTTCTTTGGGGTAAAATATATATATATTTGTAGATAAATATACATTGATCTTCATAGAAATGGACTAATTCATGTACTAAGCATTTCTCTATAATTTTCTTGTGCAGAAAAATTTGTAGAAACTGCAAGTGTAGCCTTACCGAACACGATGTGTCGATGAACTCTGAGGAGAACAAGAAGGTAGGCAAGTTGTTTGAGGACACCAAGTACACTGGCCTCATCGCCAAGTTGAAGACGGACGGCATTCCCAGGTACCAGGGCAACATGGTGACCATCACGTTACCAGCCCCTGCAACTGCTTGCACAGTTCCTCCTAGCGCCTCGTCCACTATTGTGAAGCCTCCAGCAGGTTCTGTACCATCTGTAGAAGCCACCCCAGGTTCGACAACCATCAAGTCTCAGACTCGGGCACAAGGTCAGCCTCTGGCTCAGCCTGTACCAGCCAGTGTCACCCCTCTTGAGGCCAATAAAGTACCCATCACCACCAGTGTCGCAGCAGCCAGAGTGATGCCGGTCCCCAAAGATATGCCAATGAAGTCTGTTACTTATGAATGGGCACCACCAGTACCCAATAAGTATCTGGTAAGAATTCACATCACTGATCAATCTAAAGAATATACTCAAATCTAAACAATATTTCCAAGAACCTTCATGTTTAATGCAAAACTGAAATCTGTCCAGTAATACCTTTTTATTGTTATTCTTTTATATACATCTCTCAACATGTAAGGAAAGTGTTCCAGAGGATACGTGTTTAACGTCTTCATAATAAATAATAACCAGTTATGAAAGATTTAAAATCATGACCAAATGTGATACCCTCTTTTTCTTTAAAATAGAAAAGAGAGATCTATAAGCATGTTGCTTATAGATACATAGGGACTTTGTTTCATTACCATTCATGCTGCTTTGTGTGGAGAACATCATCATTCTTTAAAAATTCTATTGGAAAAATCTACAAATACATAAACCTAAAGACTGCACGTTGTTATGGAAAAGTAAGCATCTATGCCCTTGCCATTGAACCATTGAACTATGTATATAAAAGCTTCCTGTTCCTATCACCATTCTCTAATTTATTCGATTTTGGTATTAATGAACTAATTATTAAGCAGGAAATGTAATTTGAATGTAGCAGCCTTAACTTGTGTAAATATTCTTGAAGTTTCCCTTGTTTAGTCTCAATTTATATGTGAAGGACCCATTTAACAGTTTTCTCACTACAAGACATGGCAGTTTAGTCTTATTTTCTCTTGAATTTGACCTTAGGATATGTGTTTGTTGGTATGGCATTTTTTTCCGGACAGGGTTGCAGTTATGTTTTATGTTTTGTTCTTATTTAGGCTGTCCGTTATATCGAACTACTCCCACCTGAGAAGCGTCCTGTGGCTGGTACAGAGGGAGCTGCTTACCGTCGGCAACAGATGGCTTGTCAGCTGCCTGAGCATGACCAAGACCCATCCAAGTGTCACGAGCTTAGCCCTGCTGAGGTCAAGCAAATGCAGCAGTACATCCGCAAATACAAGGATGATGTCCTGGGGGTCGGAGATGTTATGCTGCCTGAGGAGATGGCTCAGGTTCAGGCTGGAAGGCAGGCTGGAGCTGCTGGTGGTGCTGAAGGTACACCTGCATCAGGAGGGTCTGGCCGTTGGGGAGGGTCTGGTGTCCCTGCTGGGGCTGTTGGTGAGATTGAAGGGGGGGGTTACGCACCAGGGGCTGGGGCAGTGTCTTCCTCGAAGCTTTCAGGCTCAGGGGTCAGAGATGGTGTTAAAGGAGGCTTTGGACCTGTAGCAAGTGGAGCTGGGACTGCTGGGGCTGGACCACATGCAGGACCAGGGACTGGACTGTCTAATTCCTTCGGACCTGCCGGAGGAGCCGTGGGTACTGCTGCCACTACTGGAGCCATGAGTGCTGGACTACCACAAAAAAACTTTGTAAGAAGTTTTTTATGCTTATTTAACTTGAATCAATGTCAGAACAAATTGTCAGAATCTCAGTATCGAGACGCTTTTTTCTTAAATTAATATATCATATTTTCTTAAATAACATAGCTGTATAAATAAGGCAAATCCTTCTTTTGTGAGAGCTTCCATAGTCATGTGGAGCAAACACAGTGGAAAACATAGATTTTATTTCTAATAATTTTGTCGGGTTTGTATCTCAGTTGGTACCCATCAAGTCACTTTGGTTACTGTCCCTTTAATCAGTTCCTTGCAGCAGATATTTCAAGGTTATTTTGGCTTTGGAACCATTACAAAAAATTGTCACAGCATTAATTCTTCACCGTCTTGTACCATTACTCATCCTTCAGATTTAATAATTTCTAAATCCTTTTTTGGTCATGACTTTTAGATGTGAGCCAGAGGTTCTGAAATATAAAATCTATTTTAGTAGTTTGGCCAAACTCATGATTTTTTTCATGAATACCCACTGACTAAGTTGATGTAACTGAACATGTTCATCCATCAGTTTCCACAGTTTGTAGCAATTTCCAAATAAGAGGGTGTTATTCACAGATATGACACTAAGTGGAGCCACAATACAAGACACTGTAGCACCTCATACCCATTTTAGAGTATGAATGTGGGTTTGATTAGAATTCAGGGGGCATGAGTCACAGTAGAGAATTTTCAGATTTAGAGAATTAACCAGTTTTACAATTCATGCTTCTTTCTTCTTTCTAGTTAGATTTATTTCAAATATTTAAATACAGATGTTAAGCAGCATTTTCTATACAAGAGTTAGTGACAAACTAGCACAAGAAAATATTAACGTTCCACCTTTTTTTTTGTGGGATTAAGCCTTCAATTTAATTTTTCATCACGTATATTGAGGTAAACATTTTAAGTGACTTTTGTCTGACTTTGCTTACACTTGAATTACTCATTGTGATTAAAATTACAATGGAAAGGAACAGCAGTTTCTGATCTGAGTTTCAGTCGGAAACTGCACTGTTTAAAACCACCATGTGTCACTGATACCGGTAAAGTTCTACTCTGATCAAAGGCACTATGTCAGATATAAGGAGGCCCTTTTTGAAGTTATATTGAAATTTCCTGGAAGTATTCAATAACTGTCAGCACAAACCAAAGGACTATTAGGAAACATCATGTGAGAATTGATGTCTGCTGTTTGGATTTGCATACACACGTTCTCTGTAGTTCTTCACTCTATAAATATCAATGTTAACTTTGGTGTAAACTTCTAAAAACTCAAGTGAGTTGAAGCTTTTTTTAATCTTATTTTTTGATGTGGCTCGTTGCTCCCGTGCAGTTGTTTGTTGTAGCATCACTGTGTGAAAAACAATCTCAATGTGAGCTCTTAAATTCTACAGCCACACACAAATTTGTTGGCTCTTGAAGAAGCCATAAGGGCAGGATCAAACCCCATGAAGCTTTTGAGTAACTGTAAAGTTAAGATGAGGCAGAAGTACATGGTTAGATTTACAAACTTCTCTATCGTTTGCTTTATGGTCTGAAGTCACATTCAAATAAAGTTCATGTTCTAATGTTAATTTTTTATTTATTTCTTGTCTAAGTTGTGCCATCACTGCCAGAAGCCCATGGGGCTGGGTGAGCCTGCCGTTTATGCCGAGCGGGCCGGCTACGACAAACTATGGCATCCATCGTGCTTTGTGTGCTGTACCTGTAATGAACTGCTCGTGGATATGATCTACTTCTGGAAGAAAGGCAAGATGTATTGCGGACGTCACTATGGAGACAGTGAGAAGCCTCGATGCGGCGGCTGTGACGAGGTGATTTTATTTTAATGATTCAATTTTTTTCCCCTTCAGTTTTGCTTAAGATTGTGTCATTTTGGAAAAGAAATCAACATTACGTTCCTCGTATTTTCACAGTTGATCTTCAGCAATGAGTACACTCAAGCTGAGGGGCAGAACTGGCATCTGAAGCATTTCTGCTGTTTCGATTGTGACTGCATCCTGGCTGGGGAGACATATGTGATGGAGAAAGACAAGCCTGTCTGCCAACCTTGCTACATGAAAAGCTATGCTGTGGTGAGTACGTTCAGGTTGGATGTTAATGAAAATAAAAACTTCCCAGTTCTTTAGATGTTTACAAGAGCTAATAATCACTGCACCAGGACATCTATGATGGAACATCTCAACAGACCAAATCTAGTCAAACAATATGATTGTAGTGAGAGGAGGAGCTGTTCTGGAACAAACCAGAAACCCAGTGGCCTGAACTCACCTCTTTCAAGATCGACTGCAGACATTTGATTTTGGTTTGGCTCAGACTGTAGATGATTTTCAATCATTTGCTTTCAAATTAAGCCTTTCAAATGAATGGCATTAAGATTAATTGAAAATTGTTTTGTGGATGTTTTTTTTTTTTTTAAGTAGGGTTTCTTTTCAACTTGATAAGATATATTTATTCTGATACGAGATACATATAGTGAAACCTCCGTGTGGAAAAATTCTATTATGTCGCCTTATTGGAATCAAAACGGGTAACAATGGATCTGAAGTTCTCAGATTAGAATCGTATTGCATGACAGGGCTTGTTGGTGAATCTCTCTGCCATCAAAGGACTACTTGTGTCAACAGAGGTTACTCCCCAATCAAGGCTGCCAAAAGAAGGAGATACATCACCCTGTTATAACTTCAGATGCCTTTTCATGTTTATGAAGATAATGTGATATGATCAAATATTATGGAAAGGCTGAAGTATGCTTTCAAGTGTCAGAAAAGCTTGACAAGAAGTCTAACCGTCATGCAGCACATCTCGTGTTGCCATCATACTTAAGATACATACATAATATAAGAAGCACAGAACAATTGCCTAAACTGTCCTGTTGTTACTAAGCACGCCACCAGAAGAAAACAGCTTTTATTGTACGGCTCCAGACTCCATTCCTTCAGTCACATTCAACATAATGACAGTAACTTCAACAGGTTTGTCAGCGTAGCAGCTTCCAAAGAGAAACGGAAAGGTGTCAAGCTTGCAATATTGTGCAGTGAACTCATGGTACTCAGTTTTCTAGTGTCAGTTTGTCACTGCCCTAATAGGTGACTGTTGTCATTAAGGATCCTATATATGTTATGATATAAAAACATTGGCATGTCAGAGACCAGACAGGAAGGCTGGGTCATTTATCATCTTAAAAGAATATTGTAGAGGGTGTAAGAGAATGGCTGGTGCCAAATATGAACCATCACTGGTTTGCATAAAATGACATTGGTCAAATGGTCTATGTTTCTATTAAATTATTGTGTATGTTCAGTGGGGTAGTGTTCCATGAAATGGGTCTCTATTTTTGTAGAGTATCTGTCTGCAGACCATACAGTAATGGATACACACCTACACCCATAAATTGGGATAAATTGAAATGAAATCTCTTTTAAATATAAACCTCAATCTACAATGGAACACATCAGATCATGGAGTAAAAGCTGTTGGAGTATCACTAAATTATTGTTTACCCCCCAAAGCCAAGAATGTGAGGCACTCTGCATGTGTTTACATGATTCATCTGATATAATCCCTTGTCAAACCGGTGCATTTATATACCATTCCTGTCCTGTCTTATAAATTTTAGATGAATCATCTTCATACATTTATATTTCATAAACAAGTCCACATGTGAAATATCCAAGGGAATGAACAGTTGTTAACTTTGACTTCATCATGCTCTCCCTCTTCGCAGAAATGCTCAGCCTGCCAGAATGCGGTTGAGCCTGAGGCGCAGAGAGTTTCCTATGGCGAACATCACTGGCATGCTGAACCACAGTGCTTCAAGTGCTCTGGCTGCACTAAGTGCCTGATGGGCCAGCGCTTCATGGCGGTGCAGAACTTCCTCTTCTGCTCTGTGGAGTGCAAAAAGAAAGTCATTGCCTAGAGAGTAACTTTAGAAACCTGAACTTAATCAGTGTGTGATGCCATCTAAGATGATCTACCCACAAAATAATCTACTGTTGATTGATAATATTAATGTGCAAGGTTTTAGAGTTCATACATAAAAAACTACTGATGCTCTCCTATGCAGTATTATGGTCATGGGTTGAAATCAATAACAGAAGCTTGAGCCTGTAACAGTTTTGTTTTTTGTTGTTGTTTTTTCTAAAAAATGTCTGAACAGTAACATTGATGAATTGCCCAGTCTTTAATACATACACTTTTATAACTCCACTTTAACAATGTAGTTTAATTTGGTGTTCACTTTTATTTTACACATTGTAATGTTTTCTACTGTACTGCCAACAATTTAAACCACTAATGTATTAACTGCTGCGATTCCATTGCTTATTATTTAATTGGATTCCAGCTTGATCAAAGAAAATGTATTTTGCCTTGTATTAAAATAAATCTGCTGATGAAGAAAGAATACATGCAAATTATTCAATTCAATTCAATTTCATTTATACAACGCCACATCACCCCGGCAGTCTAGGCCTATGGCAGCATAACTAGGGGTGGGCTTACCCTAACTATAAGCTCTATCATAAAGGAAAGTCTTAAGCCTACTCTTAAATGTAGAGATGGTGTATGCCTCCCGGACCCAAACTGGAACTTGGTTCCACAGGAGAGGACTCTGATAACTGAACGCTCTGGCTCCCATTCTACTTTTGAAGACTCTGAGAACCACAAGTAACCCTTCATTCTGGGAGCGCAGTGCTCTGGTAGGGCGGTAAGGTACTATGAGCTCTTTAAGATAAGATGGTGCCTGACCATAAAGAGCTTTGTACGTAAGGAGAAGGATTTTAAATTCTATACTGGATTTAACAGGAAGCCAGTGAAGAGAAGCCAAGACAGGAAAAATATGAACTCTTTTACTGGTTCCTGTCAGCTGAAGAGTCTTAATGGACTTTTTTGACGAGGCTGAAGATAGGGAATTGCAATAATCCAGCCTAGAAGTAACAAATGCATGGACTAGTTTTTCTGCATCATTTTTACACAGGATGCTCATGATTTTTGCAAGATTACGTAGGTGAAAGAATGCAGTTCTTGAAATTGGCTTAATGTGAGAGTTAAACGACATGTCCTGATCAAAGATATCTCCAAGATTTCTAACAGTGGTGCTGGAGGCCAGGACGATGCCATCCAAGGAAACTATATCTCTTAGTGGATTTTGTTTCTAATAGCTAGAATTATGTACACATCTACTTTGAATCATGCAAAAATAATCTTCCCTCAGCTCATAAATGTATCATTAGCTGGTCGAATGAAGAATATACAGTGAGGAAGATCATAGTGTAGCTATTGTGCCAAAAACTGATGAGTGCCATACCTGTAATAAGCAAAAATAACTACATGCAAAAAGATTAAGCTCTTTGTGCTATGAGCAGTGCACTGTTTAACCAAGAGGCTTACATTGTGAATGCTTTTCTTCATAAAACTTTTTCTCCCCTTTTCTTAAGTATGATCAAACAAGTTATTTAATTGTGTGAAAAGCCAAAGGACCTAAAATGAGATTATTAATTGTTTTTTTCACTGATTGCTTTAGGCTACTGTCACAGGCTTCAGGTTAAGATAACATTTAATTATTATATTTGATGAAAATGTGTTCGAATGGGCTGCTGAGTCAGTAGTTTAAACTCCATCTTCAACTTCAATGTATTCAAGTAATGTTGGTTAAACACCATATGTAAGGCAAAACTAACATTAACTTGGTTTTGCCTAGAGAAACCTCTATTGTTGCATTCTGATGGAAACTTGTTAGCTAGTCAGCCATGATGGTGGGAAAAAGGAAAAAAAACATTGAAAGCTTTATTTTTCTCATTCACATTATGGAAACTGAACACAATTCTAGGAAGCTCCTCAGAGGTCATTGTGTTAAATAGCAGCGGGCCTTAAGTGGCAACACAGTTTGCACTCTTTCATCCATGGTTCCACAAGACCGGATGGGACCGCGTTGCCTGGCCAACATCACACAAAGACAGGTTATCTGTGGAATCACTTTTACTGTAAGAAAACTCCAATGGCATATGAGTGAAAGCCTCTGTAGTGTACGTTGAAATTTACATATGATTTGTATAACACTTGAATGCTTGTGCCATTTACCATAGGGATTTGCATTGTGACCTATTTCTTGTTGGATTTGCATTGTGTTTGTTATCTGCATGTTGAACCAGTCATAACAAGCTGCATATGTCTACACAAGCATTATAAAAATGTTTAAGCATGCATGTTATTAATTCTAAACACATCGGGCAAAGAATCATAAAAGCTTGTTTTTAGTCAGAGCTGTTGCCTTTAAAAAAATAAAATATTTTTGATTGGATTTCCATGAAGGGAGTTTAGCTCGTGGAAGATATGATCTTCATAAATCATTCTCATAAATCATGAAGTCATTCATCTTTGTAAAAAAAATAAATAAATTGCATCTGGTTTAAACATATGTGTAAGTCATAATCAGATATGTAAGCAGTGGGTAAGATAAGGGAGGAGAGATAAGAGATTGAATTAAGATGAAATTTAGGAGTTTCTTCAAGTTTGTGTTTTTCAGTCAGGACAGTAGAACAGTGAATTCCACATGGACAAAAATGCTACAATGAACAGATATATGCATTTTTCTCCATGGATTTCAACTCATCACAATTACCTACATTAAAAATAAAGTTTTATGTATAGTGTCCCAGTTAAAAAATGGTCTCATGGTCTCTCGCTTTTATTGAACAGCCTTGCCTGTGAACACCCCCCCCTCATACGCTCCTTCTCCTAAGTTGTCCTGAGGAACAGTCAGCTCTATGAAATAGACTGTCTTTCCACTCCTATACCACAACACTATCCAGCCTTACACTTGCAGAGGGCATAACCTGAACAAGCTTTTTTTCCTAAATGTACCTACGTCTCCCAGTCACAACCATCCTCTAAGCTGCCCTGCCTTCGTTTTACCTGTTCAATTCTCTCCCCTTCTTGAATAAACTGATTTGCCACACTCTTTGCCTTAGACCCTCCTAAATAACCTGCCTTTGGCTGTCTTCAACACACACAAACCAGAGTTGCACTATCTGAACAAAACAAGCATTTCACGTCTCCCATCTACCCAGATTTTTAGGTTCTGGTAAGTTGGCAATACATCATATGTTTCCACTTTAAAAAAATATTTTCCTCCATACTCCACATTTCTTTCCAACTAAGCTTTTTCTTCTGCTTAGCAGGAGCCACTGTCTTTACATCCTTAACATTTCTTCTTGACAAAGAACCTGCTGCACAACAAGCTTCCCTCTTCTCTCTGGGACCTGCTCTACTCTACACTGGTTTGCATGGGCCAAGCCTGCCCAACCTGTTTGAACATTACCCACAGCCACTGTGTCCTTTACACGTGCCAATATTGATTCATGATTCGTCTTCTCCATGACAATTTCTCCAACTTTTACTTTCTCCTTAGAGTCTGCCATTTCTGCCCTATTGCAACGTTGGATAGGTAATCCTTTTTCCAAAGTGACCAAAACTGTTCTGATAGGTACCGCAATGCAGCCACCATTTCCGTGGATAAATGTCCTGTTTGATAAATTGACCGGGAGATGGGCAGGGCTTTCTTTGACATCATATTAAGCAGGTGTTGGGGTCAAAGGCTCTGGGCTGTTTAGATCACTTAAATAGTTTACTGTAAGAGGTTTGCTGTTCACAATCACCAGTGTTTCATAAAAGAATTTCCCTAATGATGCACCATCCATCCTGACAGACAGAAGTAAAGCTATTGCGTGCAGAATGTTTGGAACTGTCCTGATTTTACTTTATAAAGCAAATACACCAGTACTTTAACTAAGTATAAATTTGACTGACCTACTTTCACTTTTACTGGAGTGATATTTGACCAGTAGGATCGGTTCTTCTTCGGAATTAATGAAACTGAGTAGTTTGTCCACCATCGCTGTCTATACTCTCGAGCATGGGCATCACAGAACACACGCCTGGTTTGAATCATACCTCACTGCTCGATCATTGTACTGCTTTTTCCCAACAGGGTCGCAGGAGGGCTGGAGCTTATCCTAGCATATAATGGGCGAGAGTTTGGGTACACCCTGGATGGTCTGCCAGTCCATCGCAGGGCTATATAGAGACACACATGCACAAACAACTACACACACTGACATTCACTTCTAAGGGCAATTTCACATGTCCAATCAACCTAAAATGCATGTTTTTTAGATGCTGGAGGAAGCCAGAGTACCTGGAGAGAACCTATGGAGGGGAAAACATGCAAATCCCACACAGAAAGGTCCAGGTCCAGGATTTGAACGTAGAATATTTTTTCTTGCTGTGAGGCGACGGTGCTAATCACCACACCACGGTGCCACCCCCAGCAGATCAGATCGCTTTGCATTACTAAATATAAGAAAAATCCAGTTGTACCTTATGCACAAACACACAACATATCGAAGTTGGGTAAATAACAGACACAGACAGCATATCAACCACTACAAACTCTTACTAGTACAACAGCACTGAATGAAGGAACTTAGATTTGAGAATAATTTATTTGCTGTTTTGGGGGGGTTAAAATTTTCTTTAACCTCCTGAGACCAGAGCTTTTATTCGGTGTGCATTCTTGCTAATATGGGATTAGCAGAACCTATCAAGTTTAATTAACAGACTTTGTCATTGTACAGCTATATTGGAGTGCACTGTTATCCCCTGTGCTTGTGTTGACTATCATTTCTAGGCTTACACAGTCTAAGATAATTTAAATTTAATAGAAAAGATGATTGTAGAACCTTACAAAAATTATACATTGACATCTTTGCCTCAGTATCACTAAACAGGCCCCAACATATTTGAAGTCGAGTTACTCAGATTGAATGCATTGTTTTAATTTTACCAAAAAATCAAGTTTTCTGAATGTACAGTAGATGAGACAACTCAAAAGAAGCAAGTCAGAACTGGGATCATAACCTAACTTGCCACACATATTCCTGTTTGAGGAAGGAGGGAGTGAGCAAGAGTGATTCATTTTCGTGGAATGCCATTGTAGATCAGAGCCGGTATTGTATTATGATCCAGGAGAAGACAGTACTGATCATGTTTAAACTGCTAAACAACCTTTGTAAAAACACGGATCACTAACATAATTTTGCTTAACCTCATTTGCGATCATTAGATTATTTGTGTGTGTTCATATATTTATAAGTTCAAAATCATTGCAATGCATAAAAATAAGGCATTCTATTACTACATCATTTACATGAGATTGTGTTGAAAAGGATAAGATTAGATTTTAAAGTATAGAATTTGATCTTTAAAACAGAGCAGTATAAAGCAACACAGCAACAGATAATAGAAGCGAACGAATAATTGAAAAATGAATCTAGAAATATATTCAATATCCATAAACAAATAACTTCCCAAATCAGACTTTATTTCAGGAAAAGTCTACGTA